ACGGACACAGGAACAGCAAACCAAACACCACGTGTTCTCACTGGTAAGTGGAAGTAGAACAATGAGAACATATGGACACAAGGAGGGGAACATCACATACCGGGACCCGGTAGGGGAGGGGAGAAAAGTAAGGGACAGCATTAGGACAAATACCTAGTGCATCTGGGGCTTAAAACCTAGATTACGGATTGACAGTTGCAGCAAACAACCATGGCACAGGTATACCTGTGTAAACCTGCACATTTAGCATATGTATCCCAGAACTTAAAGTAAAAAAAAAAAAAAAATAAGTAGGGTAATGCTATGAACAACTTTATGCTTATCAACTTGACAGATGATTACAAAAAATGAACCAAAACCTCAGAAAACACAAACTACTAAAATTCGCCAACAATGAAAATAATAACCTAAATAGTCCTGTAACTATTAAAGAATTAGTTTTGTTACCTAAAACTTCGTGAAAAAAAAAATCTCCTGAACCAGATGATTTCATTGGAGAATGTTAAACCAAATAGTTAAAGAATTAACACCATTTTAACACAATTCCTTCCAAAAATTAGAAAAGGGAACAATTTCCAACTCATTTAATAAGGTAAATATTACCTTGATACCAAAACCATACAAACACAGCATTAAAAAAAAAAGTATAAACCAATCTCTCCTTAAATACAAAAATCCGAAACAAAACTTTAGCAAATCACATCCAACAATGTAGAAAAAATAGTAATAATGAAGAATAATTGACATTTATAGATAACTACACCCAACAACAGAATACATTTATTTTTCAGGTAGGTACCCATGAATCATTCATAAAGACAAGCAATATCTTGGGTCATAAAACAAATCTTCATAAACATAAAAAAACTGAAATTACACCGTATATACTCTGTCATAAAGGAATCAAAATCAGAAATTAAGAAAAAAATAATATGAAAGTAGCAAACATTAGAAAATTAACATACTTCAAAAAGAAAACCAAATAGTTTAAAGTCTGAAAGGATATTTAAAAATACATCAAAATAAGTGAAATGAACAGGAAACACAACACATCAAAACCTGTAGAATGCAGCTGCAACAGTCCTAAGGGGGAAATTTGTGCCAAATGAATACATTTGAAAAGGAGAAAGACCTCAAATCAACCGTACACCATGACCATATAGAAACTTTAGGCAAGGCTGGTTAAACATTCAAAAATCAATCTGTATAAGCCACCATATCAATGGATTAAAGAAGAAAAATCATATGGATTTATGCAAATACATCTGACAATATTCACATTACTCATGATTTTAAAAAAATCTCAGCATACTGGCAAATAGAAAATCTCCAAACCCTAAAAAACACCTATTAAAAACTTCAGCTTACAGCTAACATCATATACTTAATGTGAAAAACTGAATGCTTTCTAAGAGCAGGAACAAGGCTAGAATTTTCATCCCATCTTTTTTTTTTTTGAGACAGGGTCTGACTCTGTACCCAGGCTGGAGTGCAGCGGCACTAGCACAGCTCACTGCATCCTCAATCTTTTGGGCTCCAGTGATTCTCCAACCTCAGCCTCCCAAGAAGGCAGGACTACAGGCATATGCCACTGCACAGGCTAAATTTTTCTGGTGTTTTTTGTAGAGACAAGTTCTCACTACGTTGCCCAGGCTGATCTCAAACATCTGACCTCAAGTGATCCTCCTACCTCAGATTCCTAAAGTGCTGGAACTATAGGTCTAAGCTATGGTGCTTGGACCCATCATTGTTATTTAGCATAATACTCAAGTGCTAATGATGGTAAGAAAAAGAAATAAAAGATATAAACTAAATTTACCCCAAACTACCCACAATTATTAAGTGGCACAGTACTAATATAATTTCGTTTAAAATCATAGAACAGACATGGATACCTACTATCATCATTATTAGACAACACTGACTCAGATTCTATCAAAGGCAAGCAGACTGAAACAATCAGATTAAACATAACAGATAAAACCTCTCTTTAGCTAATGACATGATTATATGGCTTAAAGAAAACTGAAAGATTCGAATTTTTAAAGGTCTAGAATTATTTTCTAAAACCTCGGTGTTGGGATAAAATTTTCTTGATACAAAAATTATCCTCATAATTTAAAAAAAATGTTATTCAGAATAGTACAAAAATTATAGTATAGTTAGGATTAACCTTGACAAGAAAGTCGAAGACCCAATACTATGAGGGAGGGCAGAATGGGGAGCCAGGAGATACACTTTACTAAAACATTTTTTTAATTGCAAAACAAAGTTTAACATGCTAACAGTTTTTGAGTGTACAATTTAGTGGAATTAAGTACATTCACAACAATGTGCAACCATCACCATTTCCATAACTTTTTTAATCATCTCGAACGAATTCCACATCAAACATTAACTCACCATTACCCCTTACTGCAATCCCCTGCAACCTCTATTCTATTTCCTATCTCTAAATTTACCTAAATACCTCATGTAAGTGGAACTGAAAAATTTTTGTCCTTTTTTTGGTCTGGTTTATTTCAGTTAGCAAGATTGTGTTCAAGATTCTTCTATGCTATGGTAATAGCAGAACTTTGTTTTTCATGACTAATATTCTATTCTATGTATATACCACATGCTATTTACCTATTCATCTGTTGATGGAAACTTGGGTTGTCTACACCTTTTGCGTATTGTGAATAATACTGCTATGAATATTAATATACAAATGTCTGCTTCTGTCCTGGCTTTCAATTCTTTTGGGTATATACCTAGGAGGTAAGTGTTGGGTCATACGGTAATTCTGTTTAACTTCTTGAGAAACTGTCAAATTGTTTTCCACAGTGGCTGCACCATTTTACATTCCCGCCAGTGATGCACGAGGGTTTTAATTTATCCACATCTTCAGCAACCCTTATTTTCCTTTTTTTGTTTTAAATAATGGCTAACCTAGTGAGCGTAAAGTGGTATCTCCCTAGGGTCTTATCTTGCACTTCTCTAACAACTAAGATTTCAAGCATCGTTTCATATATTCATTGGCCAATTGTATACCTTCTTCGGAGAAATGTCTATTCAAGTCCTTTGCTCATCTTTTATTTGGGTTGTCTGGTTCTTCTGTGGTTGAGCTGTAGAAGTTCTTTGTATATTCTGGATATAAATCTCTATTATTCTTATCAGGTACATTATTTGTAAATACTTTCTCCTGGTCTGGTTCCCCTTGCACACTCTTGATAGTGTCTTCAGGTTACTCTTTTTTTTTGAGACACAGTCTCATTCTGTCAGCCAGGCTGAAGTGCAGTGGTGCGATCTTCAACTCACTGCAACCTCCATCTCCTGGGTTCAAGCAATACTCCTGACTCAGCCACCCACGTAGCTGGGATAACAGGCACTTGCCACCACACCCAGAAAATTTTTGTATTTTTAGTAGAGATGGAGTTTTACCATGTTGCCAGGCTGGTCTCAAACTCCTAACCTCAAGTGATTCACCCACCTCAGCCTCCCAAAGTGTTGGGATTACCGGCATGAGCAAACACGCCCAGCCCCAGATTAATATTTTTTTAAGAAACATAAACACGATTCATTTTGTAAAAAATCTAAATAACATAAAAATGTGAATTCTCACAAAATATAAATTAAATGCAACTGCAGTTAGAATTCCAAAATTTTATTGGGAATTGGATAAAACTAAAAGCTTATAGAAAGAAAAAAGGCTGGAGAACGGCAGTGGAATAGTAAAGGTATTTATCTTTATATCAGCACATACTATAAAGCTACTATAAGTAACATGAGTATTGTGTTGACACAGGAAAAAACAAATATATCAAATTTCAAAAGTATGTTGAATGTGTTGGGAGGCTGAGGTGGGCAGATCACCTGACGTCAAGAGTTTAAGACCAGCCTGGCTAACATGGTAAAACCCCACCTTGACTAAAAATACAGAAAATTAGCCAGGTGAGGTGGCATTTGCCTGTAATTCCAGCTACTCAGTAGACTGAAGCAGGAGAATTGCTTGAATCTGGAATGCAGAGGTTGCAGTGAGCCAAGATCATGCCATAGCACTCCAGCTTGAGCAATAAGAGCAAAACTCCGTGTCCAAATAAAAAAAATTGTATGTTGAATGTTATGTGAGACTTAATATATGATAAAAGTGGTACATTCAGAAACAAACAGATTTTTTTTTAATTAATAAACAGATATGACACAATGACACAACTGACCACCTGGAAGAAAATAAACTTAGAAGATTGTGTCATATTATATACCAAAACACATTCCAGATGGTTAAAGATTTAGATTTCCTTTTTTTTAAAAAAAAAAGGTATTCAGATGAAAAATCTAAGTTATTACAGATACCATTGGGAGAAGCCAAACTTTGAACTAAAACAGGAAACTTAAAGCTATAAAAGAAAAGTTACACCATTTAACAATTAAAATCCAACAGTCAATAAACATATGGTGCTCAAACTCTGGCAATCATGGAAATCGACACTAAAGTAAAAATGAGGTTGCTTATTATCAATGAACTGGCAAAAACGTAGAATAGTTAAATAGTCTATCAGGTAAAAGATATTCTTGATGTTATTGGTGTGAAAGGAAATTGTAACAGCCTTTTCTGAAAGCACAGGCACAGACACATATGCTTTTTTTTTCATTTATGAGTACCAATTAAGTTATAGGATGATTCAAGGGCTACCTCAGCAGAATAATAGGAGTAATGACAAATTCTTCTTTCAAACTTTTATTAACTCAATGAAGTAACACTCTTTTAATCCAAAAAATGAAAATAAAGAAAACCTTAAAAAGTAATAGCACATATAACAGACTAAAGGAAATGGAGAAGACAGAAAAAGAGCACTGACCATGGAGTTGTAAGGAAATAAAATACTCATCCATTTAACAATTCACAATTCTGTCTAAGCTGAACCTGACCTTCACACTTAAAACAATACATGCACCATTAACATTTCTCACTTTTTAAATATATCCAAGCAAATAATGCCCATGGAGATGCCACCAACCTGATCTGTTGGTGACTTCACTTGGTTCTACAATAAACCGCAGAGAGGCTTCTTTCTGTCTTGAAGAAACTGGAACTGACTTTGGATGTGATTTCTGGCACAGAGCACAGAAGAAATACAACATTAGAACTACTTTATTAACTTACCATTTCTGATGAAATATATTTGTTTTTTAAATGGGGGGAACCAGCATTCTAAAACAACAAACCAGCTGTTAAGACTTTTATACTACTTTTTATTTTATTTCTAAAGTAATAGCTACTTCAGAAAACAATTTGGCATTATTCAGTAAAGCTGAAATTTCATACAACCTATCACAGAAACAATATTGCTCTAAACAGCCAAAAACTATGTGGACAGAAGACTGAATAAACTTACTGAATAAATACATTGTGGTAAAGATATATCATATTATATATATAATAGTGAAACAAATAAACTACAATAATATATATGATTATTTTAACCAGAAAAAGAAGCAAGCTGCAGAAGTACATAACAATCCTATCTATGTAAAGTTCAAAATAGACATGTAAAACACTATAGAATTTACAGATTCACTCTTTGCAGGAGAGATTAACATGTTAGGCCTGATAATTTAAAGGGCCAGCTTACAGGGCTATCCCTTGGTTGGCATTCAGAGATTTGACTTTTAGAATATACCTTCCATTACCAACAGACAAGGTTGCACCTGCTGTGCCAGCCTGCCTACACTGCTTGCATAAACAATGTGATTTATGGTTAGCATCTGCTTTCTCTCCTTCTGGGAATGCGTAAAATTTTGGCAGGCAGAGGCTGCATAGGGGACGAACCCCCAGTGAAAACAGCCTGAGTTTTAAAAAAGCTCTGAGAAAGAGTGTATACATGTTACTGCATTTAACTGCTGGAGGAAATGAGTACACTCTATATGGCCCCTTGGGAAGCATAGGAAGCCTATACATGGATTCCTCCAGACTCTACCTAATGTGAATTTTTCTCTTACTGACCTAGCTGTGTATCCTGACTGACTATAATAAGTATCAGTCATGAGTTCAACTGTATGCCAAGTCTCTCGAGTCCCTTTAGTGAAGCACCAAATGTGGATGGTAGTGGGACCTGTCAGAGGTCCCCTTCTGCTCTCCGTAGCAGCAGAAATGTGGACACAGTATCGGTACAGATCTACCAGTAGAAAAATAAATAAGAAACAGACTGATATGGTATGGCAGTGTTCCCACCCAAATCTCAACTTGAATTGTATCTCCCAGAATTCTCTTGTGTTGTGGGTGGGGCCCAGGGGATGATAACTGAATCATGGAGAAACTTATAAAGATTAGTAGAAGTGTAAGACACCTCTAAAAAAAGGTGCAAGCCAGATGCAGTGGCTTCGGGAGGCCAAGGCAAAAGGATCACTTGAGGTCAAGAATTCAAGACCAGCCTGGGAAACTTAGTAAGACCATATCTCTATGCAAAACAAAAAATTAGGCAAGAGTGGTGGTGCATGCTTGTGGTCCTACCTACTCAGGAGGCTGAGGTAGAAGGATCACTTAAACCCAGAGGTTTGAGGTTGCAGTGGGTTATGAGCACGCCACTGCACTCCAGCAATAGAGCAAGACCTTGTCTCAAAAAAAAAGAAGAAACATGCAAACAGAGGGTGTTAAAAGTGTGTATAGTTGAATGTGTCTTTTGTCACAGAATAAAAGTGTATACAGAGGTAGGAAAACTGGGTGGGTGGCTCATGTCTGTAATCCCAGCACTTTGGGATGCTGAGGGGAGGCAGTCACCTAAGATCAGGAGTTAGAGACCAACCTGACCAATACAGTGAAACGCCATCTCTACTAAAGATACAAAAGTTAGCCGGGAGTGGTGGCAGGTACCTGTAGTCCCAGGTACTCAGGAGTCTGAGACAGGAGAATTGCTTGAAACTAGAAGGTAGAAGTTGCAGTGAGCCGAGATTGTGACACTGCACTCCAGCCTAGACAGCAGAGCGAGACTCTATCTCAAAAAAAAAAAAAGAAGGTAGTAAAACCAAAGAGCCCCTCCCAAACATATTTACTCTCTTGAGTTTCTAAAACAGAAAGACTATGAAATTAGTGGCAGAAGACACAGGTGAAGTTAAGGGCAATACCTGAAAACCAGAGATATTAAGTAGGAGCATTCAAACTGTACTTTCCCCTTTGCCACATCTGACTAAAATTAAAAACAATCGCAGTTAGAATCGAATTGCCAAGCAAGAGAGGTATCTTTACCAGAAATATTTACCAGGCCGAGAGAAAAAAAATCTACAGATGTTAACCCCTGGGTATCAACAATGAAATGGAGTAAACTAAACCAGTGAAATCTACCAGCCTACAGATTTTACTAGGCATATGGAGCTCCCCATGTGTTTTAGTTTCCCACTTTCAAATGAGAGGAGACAGCTAAGGATCATTAGACATAAGAAAAAAGGCCAGGTAATGAGCAAAGTAAGTAAAAAGGGTATTGTAGAAAACAGAAATTGTAGGAAGAAATATTTATGAAAAGGGTTAGATGAAGCTAACATCAAAAAATATAATAAAAATTTAGATCACTAAAGATAGATGACAGTATCCTAAAAGCCTCTAACGAGAAAAAAAGTCACAAAGGATCAAGGACTCAAAACAGTATTCTCAAGAGGAGGAGCTAAAATAAAAGAAAGCAACATTTTAAAAAGTCTAAAGGAAAATATACCTGAATAAAACAGAGGCTTCATATGAAAAACTGTTACTTTAACTAAAGGAAAATAATTTCTAATAGAATTCTGTACTCATCCAAATTACTCATCATGAGGGTAAAACCATGATATTTTTAAACATTTAAGGTCTTAAATTCTCAGAAAGCTATTAAAAGATGAGTTCCACCAAAAAAGAAGAGGCCAAGAAAAAAGGAAGATTTAAGATCCAAGAAATATGAGATGCAATTCAGGAGAAAAACAAAGGGACTTCCCTGTGATACAGGAAGAGTACATGTCAAAACCTATGTGATAGCTCTAAGGGCAGATAGAAGAAAAAAACAGAGCAGAGATAGTTTCAGAAAAAGCTGAAAATGATAAATTACTTAACGGGTCTACATATACTAAGATATTTATACTTAAACTTTTGTCACAGAAAACTGGTGATGAATTAGTCATAGGTGCACAGAAAGTCAAAAATGGAAAAACAAAGGTTAAATCAGGAGAAAACTAAGAGCTGTACATAAACAAAATTTAACCATTAGTACTTTACATAGCTGTGACTACTGAAACAGTCATAAAAATACTGTGAACACTAAATACTAATCCTACTGAAAATATGATGTACTAAAAAATGAAAGTTTATGTGTTGTGGTACAAAGTAGAAACTATATGACAAATAGTCTAAACTTCCATATTAGAAAACCAAAAAGTAATAGCAAAGACTGAAAAAAAATCAAGAAACTGTCATATAAACATTATTTTGAAATATGGAGTCAAAATATCCAGAAGAAATAACTAAGACTAAGAAGTTGGACTTGGAGGAGGAAGAGTGGGCTCTACTGTTTTTTTTTTTTTTTTTTGTGGAATTTATGGAACTATTTTAACTTCTATGTACATAATGCCTTTGACCTTAAAAATAATTCTTCCAAAACATTAAGAAGAAAATTATTTTAAAAGATAGGGAAGAGGGCCAGGAGTGGTGGTTCATGCCTGTAATCCCAGCACTTTAGGAGGCGGAGGCAGGCAGATCACAAGGTCAGAAGATCGAGACCATCCTGTCTAACATGGTTAAACCCCGTCTCTACTAAAAATACAAAAATCATCCAGGCATGGTGGCATGCACCTGTAGTCTCAGCTATTTGGGAGGCTGAGGCAGGAGAATCGCTTGAACCTAAAAGGCAGTGGCTGCAGTGGGCTGAGATTGAGCCACTGCACTCTGGCCTGGGAGACAGAGCAAGACTCCATCTCAAAAAAAAATAGGGAAAAGAAAACAGTGAACCAGCACAGACTGCTGGTTCTTTGAAAATGCTAATGACAGAAAAATACCTCTAACAACACAGATAATTTAAAAAGGTGAAAATGAGCAACAAAAAAAGAGTAACAACAATGAGAAAGAACATAAAGTTAACTATACACAAATTAAGAAGGAACTAGCTGTTTCAAGAAAATTATAAAATGTCAAAACTGGCAAAAAAAAATACAAAAAATGTAACAGATCATCATTAAATAAAGTGGTAATCACAAACATCCCCAATAAAGCATCCTGAACCATATGTATTTCAAATGATCTCAATTTGAAGAAACAGATCATTTTTACTTAATCAAGTTATCCCAGAAAACAGAAGAGAAAAACTAATTTCTTTTACGAAGCTTGGTTGTGTTTCAGTTAAAACCTAAGGACTCATATCTTATTCTACTTAAAGACATACAAATATGAAGTAGACCTCGAAATCTCAAGTTTTCAAACAGAAAACCCAGTAAGACAGATAAGTCTTAAGTCTGATTAACTCACTTTATTTTCAAATCAAGTAAACAAATTCTACTTCTTATGTGGAAGGCCTGGGCCAAGCTTGCTGCATGGAAAGGCCCTACCTGAAAAAACCCTAACACCTACAAAGTCTCTGTTGTTTGGAAGCATCCATCTCAAGGATTAGAAAAAAAATAATAATATAAAAATAAAGAATACATGAAAAATAAAATTAAAAAAAAAACCTGAAAGTAAAAACAAGCAAATAAGAGGACCAACAAAGCCAAACTTGTTTTCTGAAAGACCAAAACTTTGATAAACCCTGACAAAATGAATCAATGAAAAAGACAAGGCATAGCAGGCACAGTGACATGTGCCTCATGAGCAGTAGTCCCAGCTACTACTTAGCTTAGGGAGGATCACTTAAGCCCAGGAGTTGCTTGGGCAACATAGCAAGATCTCTAGCTCTAATTAAAAAAAAAAATGATAAGGCATAAATGACCAACATCAGGAATGAAAAAGAGTATGTAACTATAGGTCCTACAAACATTAAAATACTGTAAAAAGATATTACAAAACAACACTATCATTATCCAAATAAACTGGAAATTTTAAATAAAATGAAGAAACCCCTAAAACAAGAAAATTAGGTAAAACTTTCCAAAAAAAGGAAAATAAAAAATCTAAATTGTCTACTGAAACTATTAAGTAAAATCCAAATCTTTCATGTTCTATACCGTCATCGAGGTAGCAGTTGTAAAAATTCAATAAAATATACATGCAATTGGTGAATTTTAATATATTATGTTTCATAAGAAAACAAAAGTGAGGCCAGGCACAGTGCTCATGCCTGTAATCCCAATGCTTTGGGAGGCTGAGGCAGGAGGACTGATTGAGCCCAGAAGTTTGAAACAAGCCTCGGCAACATATTGAAACCCTGCCTCTGTAAAGAAAAATTTTTAAATGGCCAGATGCAGTGGCTCACACCTGTAAACCCAGCACTTTGGGAGGTCAAGGTAGGCAGAACACTGGAGGTCAGGAATTCAAGACCAGCCTGGCTGACATAGACATCTCTACTAAAAGTACAAATATTAGCCTGGTATGGAGGTGGGCACCTATAATCTCAGGTACTCAGGAGGCTTAGGCAGCAGAATCATTAGAACCTGGGAGGCGGAGGTTGCAGTGAGTTGAGATAGCACCACTGCACTCCAGCCTCGGTGACAGAGCAAGACTCTGTGAAAAGTAAATAAACAGTTCAGCATCTATAGTTCTAGTTATTCAGCAGGCTGAGAGGGAAGGGTGGTTTAAGCCCAGGAAAAGTTCAAGGCTGCAGAGAGCTATGATAATATCATGGTACTCCATCCTGAGCTAAAGAGTGAAATCCTATCTCAGAAAAGGAAAAATAAATAAATAAATTCATATTTTAAAACTTTCACAAAGATAAAACTATGAATAACATCAAATATTTAAGAAAGAAACAATACTGACTCATAAACAATTCAGGAGAAAAGAGAAAGATAAAATACTGAACAACTCATTTTACAAGGCAATATAAACACAGAGGAGAACGCTTATTTTGAACACTTATTTCTTAATATTCATTTAAAGTTATGAATTCCCTCTAATACTATTTTAGCTAAATCTCACAAGTTCTGATAATTCATATTATTGTTTTCATTTGGTTCAGAATATTTTGCATTCCCAACATGCTTTCTTCTTTGGTCCAAAGTAATTTAGAGTCATTGCAGTGGACCTTACCTTTAGAGCAGAATGTCTCAAAAGGGACCATATTTACCCTCCTTTAAATTTTAAAAAGAGAAAAAACATACAAGATTCTCAAGAAATATGAAATTGAAAAACAAGGAGAATGATTCTTGAGTTGGGAAACAAATGAAGAGAACCCTCTGATCTACCCATTTCCAGGATGTGGCACACAGGGGAAATCCTCAGTTGAGCCAAAGCTGAGTATTCAGGAAGACCAAGGTGGTTAGAATTTACAAGGTAAAATACTGAATGGGAGACAGTTACACAGAGAAAACTTGAGAACGTACAGATCTCTCTTAAGCATTCAATCAAATATTTGAACAGAGACTGTGTTGTGAGAAAACCAGAGAAAGAACCACCCAAAGCCTTGAAGGGGAATATCCTCCCAGTCACACAGGACCTAAAATAATGCCTGTACCTATCAGCCAGAGTGGAAAACCTGCATAAGTAATAGAACATAGTAGAGGAGAGAAGAATTTTGCCTCAGAAGGGAAGAAAATTAGTTACTGACTATACTTTGCTAGTCTTTATTGTTTCCACAGCTCCTCAGATCTCTAAAAATAAAATTAGTTTGCATTTTTTTAAATAGTTGCTTTAGCAGGAGTGTTAGCCTTCTGTGGCTTATTGCATCCTACCTAGAAGAACCTCTAGCATAACCTTGATACCAAAGCCCTGTAAGAACATTTTAAGAAAAAAAGACAATATTGGGGCCAGGCGCGGTGGCTCACACCTGTAATCCCAGCACTTTGGGAGGACGAGGCAGGTGGATCACGAGGTCAAGAGATCAAGACCATCTGGTCAACATGGTGAAACCCCGTCTCTACTAAAAATACAAAAAAATTAGCTGGGCACAGTGGCGCATGCCTGTAATCCCAGCTACTCAGGAGGCTGAGGCAGGAGAATTGCCTGAACCCAGGAGGCGGAGGTTGTGGTGAGCCGAGATCACGCCATTGCACTCCAGCCTGGGTAACAAGAGCAAAACACCGTCTCAAAAAAAAAAAAAGAAAGAAAATATCAAATAAAGCTTTTCACAAAATATCTCCAAATTCTAAAGAAAGTCAACGGGAATACAGAATTCCCTTTCAAGAATAAGACTTGCAAACAACTAAAATATACCTAAGTATATTGTGCATACCTTCATTCATTAAAATATTAAACCTATACCAGCTCTCCTTTATCACTTACCTCTTTGCTTGGTGACTGAATACAAGTGTCTTTTATTTTGGGTGTTGAATAAAGCACTGATTTTATAGAATCTGTACTAAAATCATTGGCAAGACCTAAAACAAAAGTACAAAATTTTCAAAAACAAGATATACCATAATATTTATTAGTTACAATTAAAAGTAGCTGTATATGGCATGTGAAGAACCATCTGTTGACTCATTGACCGCAATTAGCTTAAGTAGAAACATTAATATTCAAATGTTTCTGAGAAGCATCAAGAAATAAAAAAAACAAACAAAACACCTGAAGTATCAATATATGCCAGTTCTTCTTTCAGAGCTTGTATAGAAAACATTCTTTTCTATCATCTGCCCCTATTTCTTTGGCTGGCTTACTCTTATTCCAATACCTGCTGATGCTAATCAGTACTTGGAAAAGTATTTACTATAATTCATGGCTTCCTTAAATAGGCATATATATCACCAAAGACTATCCCCAATTCTCTGACGATTTCAAGAATTCTACACATCTATTTTCATTATATGAAGTATTTTTTCTGGCTGGGGGCAGTGGCTTACACCTATAATCCCAACATCTTGGGAGGCTGAAGTGGGCAGGTCACTTGAGGCTAGGAGTTTGATACCAGCCTGGCCAACATGGTGAAACCCGGTCTCTACCAAAATAAAAACAAAAATTAGCCAGGCATGGTGGCACACACCTATAATCCCAGCTACTCGGAAGGCTGAGGCAATACAATCTTCTTGAACCTGGGAGGCAGACACTTCAGGGAGTTGAGATAGTACCATTGCACGCCAGCTTGGGCAACAGAACGAGACTATGTCTCAAAAACATAAATTAATATTTCTTCTTGTGTATGGTAATTATGTATGGACTTCCAGATTACAGCAATCTAATGTGAACTAAAGGGGATGGCCAATTATTGTCAAATTATTGTTATTTTTGTCAGTATTATCCTAACTATGCCAGAAGCATTGCACCTGAACTCAAAATTCTAGGGAAAATACTTTACGTATATTTAAACCCTAGAACATATTTGCTGCATTTGATATTAATTACCATGACAAACTCATATTTTCATCCACCTAACCCTCAAATTCCATCTTGAAATGAAGCCTTACTTTTTTCTTCAAAACAGTCTTGTAAGATTTCCAGAACATTCTGTCCTTGCTCTGTGTTAATGTCCCGTGCCCTAATAAAGAAAGAGAAAATATAACCAATCATTTTCAGAAGATATTTGTTTATATTACCATCTATCTGAAAATTCCAGATCTCATTATAAAATCTTAATTAACTTAATATGTAAAATATCTTTACCATCCGAAGACAAAACAAGTACTTGAGGGTCTATGAGTTCCCTCTAATGAACTCCTTCTTTCCTAATAAGAATTATTATATCATAATCTACATTAACAATTACATTTCTTAGTTGAATAGCCATGGCTAAAGCCTTGTCTAAAGCTGTTTTAGATTACTGCTGTACCTCAACACAAATTTTTTTGAATGAATCCAATCAGTCCTGAAATGCTTTTTTAACAGACTTTACAGTTACATTTCCAAGTAACATATTCCTCCCTATAAGTTCTCAAATGCATTTTTGATTCAGTATCATTAATATTAACAATTTATGAATCAATGTAAATTTTAATTAAAAATTATATTGAGCGTATAGATTCACATGCAGCTATAAAAAATAATAGAAATTCTTTGTTCACTTTACCCAGTGCTCCTCAGTGCTGACAGTTTACAAAACTATAGCATATTATCACAACCAGGATGCTGATATTGATACAATCTACCAATGCTATTCTGATTTCTCCAGTTCTACATGTACTCATTTCTGAGTATGTTCATGTTTATGTGTATTTATTTCTACACAACGTATCACATCTGCATGTTCATATAAAACCAAAGTCAAGATACTGAATAGTTCCATCATCACAAAGATCTTCTATTGTCCTTTAATAACTATAACCACCTTTCTCTCTCCTCCTTCCTGCCTCCTCTCATTCCTAACCTCTGGCAACCACTAATATGTCCTCTAATTCTAAAATTCTGTCATTTGGAAAAAATTAAACATAACTAGAATCATATAGTATGTATCCTTTGCCCTGGCTTTTTTCCCTCAACACAATTCTATGGAGATCAATCCAACTTAAATGTATCAATACTTCTTTGCTATTTAGAGAAAAGTAGTGTTCCACGCTATGTGTACACCACAGTGTTCAACCATTTACCTGCTGAAGGACATCTGGATTTCAATCAGTATAAAATTTTGACATGCATCTCTAACAGGGTTGTCAAACTTTTGCTTAAAAGCCAGACGGCAAATATTTTAGGCTTGTAAACTATACGGTCTCTGTCACAACCAGTCGATTCTCCCATTCTAACCCAAAAGCAACCACAGACAATATGTAAATAGAGGCATGCCTGTACTCCAATAAAACTGAAACAAAACCTGTGACAAAACATTTGGCTAGCCTACTGGCCAAAGTTAACTGATCCCTCATCTACAAAATTTCTATTATTCTTGAAAGCTTGAAAAGTACTATATATGAAGTAATTAAAGATTGTGAGCCACAATGCATTATCAGGTCATCCATCATCAAGTTTTATAACTGAAACATCTCAGAAATCATCCAGTCCAATAATTATCATCCAAATATATGCATAAAATTACTTTTGTAGCTTTGCAGAAATACACATATTTGGTCACTTACCACAGACCAATTTAATAAGATTTTCCAGGGTGACTGAGATAATTCTGATATGCGAATCTAGTTAAAAAACACTAGCTGAATCCTGTGCCCTCATTTTGCAGATAGGCAAACTGAAACCCAAATTGGTCAAATGGCCTGCCTCAGTTTGTAAACTTAATTAGTCTTAGTGGCTGGCTTTCTATCAGAATATAGGTCACTATCATAAATTCTGCCCTTGACACCAGCCCAGAATGCCACCTACAGGTGCATTTATTTCCAACTATAAACACACTCTTGCTATTTCGTATTTCATGGATGAGATCCAAAAAGATAGATTTGTCAAAGGTGATAATGCAGAGAGTCACTATTAAAACACAGGTTTTAGTCTAGACAACAGTTTTTTCAAAATTTATCAAATTCATCTTTTCTCCCCACTTGTCATTATTACCTTAGGGTAAGCACCTCCATCATGTCTAGACTCCTACAGCCCCTTTCTTAAGCTACCTTGTAAACATCAAACATCTTTGCTTTTTTAAATGTGTGTGTGTGTGTTTACATCAGACAGCCCTTATTCCACAGAAGATTTAGGACAGCTTATTCAAGTCTATAATAAATGCCTAAAGTCTTAACATATACATTTTCTGGCTCAATCCAACTCATATGGTCATTTTCCACTAATACCCGACATATTCACCTTCTTAAATCAGGTCTCTCTGCTACTGAAAAATAAATGTATTCCTGCTTTGGTTCCTTTTTAAGTTACTTTCTACGTCTGCAATGTACCTTAGCTTAGTCTTTAAATCCCTATTCAATATCCACTTAAGTTATACTACAACTTTAAAGCTTTCCTTAATATCAACAACACAAAACCCTTATTTCTGACATGGCTGTCTATACTGCAAGTTAATGCCTAATTATATATAGGCCTACTCTCTATAATACAGAAGTCATTACTTCAGTATTAAAAGTAGAAATTTTTGCCCATTAAATTATTTCACAAATGTACATTTTTCCAATAGAAATGAAAGCTTCTTGTAAGGAAAAGAAAGCATTTTTGTGCCCCATTGGACCTACTAAAATCACAGCTCAGTAAACAAGATGTTATTCACAATAATATCGTCACTTTTAAAAACATGCTTTTCATCCTATTACTATTAAATATTTAACTAAAAAATTTACTTTTAACAGGTTTTACAATTAAAAGGACCAAAACAACCCAAATAAGCACCCAACAAATAAATGCATGACAGCATATATTATTTTTCTTTTTGCCCCACTGAATAAGCTACATATTTCTAATTTAACCATTTGATTCATGCTACAAAATCCTCTTCCCATGTAGTCAGAATTGAGACTGTCTCTTCCTGGTTCCACCACTGTATCAGGTGGATTTCTTTTTTCACTGCCACAAAGTCACTGCACTGCTTGCATTAACATTCCTCTGTTAACATAAAATAACTAAGATGACTACTCTTAAGTGGGCAAAGAAATCATTATTTTAGTCAGGTGATAGTTTTTCCTTTCTTCATTTAAAAATCTACTATGTAAAGATGGTAATAAAAATAATCTTCAAAGTTCAAGTATATAAATCACCTGGAAGGTCGACAAAATCTTCTTCTGTAGTCATTTTTGAGATGATCCTGAAAAAGAAGTAAATCACCAACACAAAATATGAGTTGCTGCCTCCATAAGTCATTCACAGCTTGCACCTTTTAATAGGTGTCTTTCAGAAGACTTTGTCAGTAACTGATGCCCCATAAATATCAGCCACAAGAACTGCATATAAGGCCACCACTTTGACAAAAGAACTGAAAATGTCAGATTATTTCCAAATACAGTTGTTACATAATCTGCTCCTCCCAACTAGCGAGTGTGATGCAAAGGCACACTTTTAAGGCGTTTCACTACTCCTACTATGGGCAGCAAAGTATTTGGAGGCCTAGGAACTGCAGCTAGACTAAAAGGCAGGAATCACAAGCACCTCTCAAAACTAGGACGTCGGCACAGACGAAATGACGACATGAAAACTTAATAAAAGTACAATAGATTAACTCTGGTTATCGACAAACGATCATACTTCCTTTCAAAAATTCCTGCGGCTTTCCCACTGAAATCCGTCAGAGACCACAGACCCAGCCGAGAGTTTCCTTCTCCTACGCCTCGGGCGCCTGTGCCCCGTGCCCCAGCCAGGCGCTCAACCGCTCGCCTGCAGCGCCGGGGCCCGCCCTTACCAGACCCGAGGCAGCCATGTTCCTGCCCCGCTGAGCTCGCGCAGAAGTCTGAGGTGGAAATCCACACGGGCCACAGCTCCAGGAAGTCGAGCAAGAAACTAGTCGCCGGACTACGAGGCGGCGGCCAAGCAACACCTCTAAGTTGAAGGCGACGGCGACAACAGCTACGGTCCGGAAGGCGCGCGCTAAAAACGCAGCCCGCCCATTGGCTACGCCCTCAACAAACAAACACTCAACGCGAGCCGGGTTTGAACCGGGCAGCACATGCGCAAAACCGGTCGCGCCGTCCAATAGGAAGTAAGCGGTTAGTGGTCTCGCCCCTTCAGGCTCCTGGCCAATAGCCCTGCCGCCCGCAGCCCCGCCCTCCCTGCCTCCGGCTGCTGGGTTCTTCCCACCTCCCTTCCTCAGCTCCAAGCTAGGGGCGGGCGTGTGACTGGGCCTTTGGAAGGCACGGTCGTTGCAACCGCACCTTGTGCCCAATGTAAAACTTGAACAGAAAATGAAACACCTCATATTCTCACTCATAGGCGGGTGATGAAAAACGAGAACACATGGACACAGGGAGGGGAGTACTAAACACTGGGGTCTACTGGGGGGAAAAGGGGAGGGCCAGTGGGAGGGGGAGGTGGGGAGGGATAGCCTGGGGAGAGATGCCAAATGTGGGTGAAGGGGAGAAAGGAAGCAAAACACACTGTCATGTGTGTACCTACGCAGCTGTCTTGCATGTTCTGCTCATGTACCCCAAAACGTAAAATGCAATAAAAAATACAAAAAAAAACTTCTCAACAGTTCTATTTAATACTTGGAAGAATGAGAGGTAGAAATTGCAGACGACTTTATTTGAATAGAATCTTTTCTTGAAGAAATTTTTCTAATGCAGATTCGTCGGCAACGCCCAGCCCATCTAAACATCATCTCTGAAAATAACTGAACTCTATAATAATAGTGATGACGGCTTGTATTATTTTTCAAAAATGTGGGTGATAATTTGGTGATGCATTGTCAACAAATGACCCACGTAAATATCTATCATTTAAGTATGATGCACTGAAAAGAATTCTATACAGAAAACTGAAACCTGCCAGCCATTGACTAGCTGTGTCATGACAAAATTGTGTCACCATTCTGGGTGTTTCCGTAGTGATAAAATGGAAGTCTAAATTAGGTGCTCGGAAGACTTCTTCCTACCTGACTAGTGTGTTACTCTATGAAGCTGTGTCTTATTTTATTTAAGTAAAAATTTACAAGAAAAATTTAATCAGAAAATAGTTTACTAATTGAATAAATACCTTAATCAAGAGTGGAGCTAATATATTTTTAAAACATGTAGTGCTTTAACAAATGCTGTCACCTATGAAAGCCAATTTTTTATTCTATATTTATTTTTTGATAGGGAAGAAAGGAACCATGAACTCTGAAAATGGGCCTGGATTGCACTACATTTCATGAATTCTGCCATCATGGGCAAGTACGTTATCTGTTCCTTAATTCTCTTGTCTGCAAACAGAATAATATTAAAATGGTTGAGATGTTATAATTAAATAATTCCTGTTAAGATCTAAGAACAGTGTTTGGAACATAGTAAGAATTCAATAATAAAGCTATTGGTGTCATTGCAAGGACTTTTTTTACTATGTTTGGCAGTTTTGCCAGTCAGTTTATATTATATATAATCTATTGCTGTCACATTTGGAATAGATAATAATAAACACTAACATTTCCTGAGTGCATACACTATGCCCAGTTCCGTAAATGCTTTGCATGCATTGAAGAGAGCAATTAATATTTCTGTTTTATAAATAAGGGCACTGAAACACAGAAAGATAAGTATCTTGACCAAGATCACATCACTGCTAAATGGTAGAATGTAATATTATCCCAAGAATATTTGGGATAATATTTGTAAAATATCCCATCTTACAAATCAAGATATTTGTAAAATATCCCATCTTACAAATCAGGCTTCTGTGATAGAGTGGGAATGACTTGCCAAACTAAGTTCATACAGCTTGTAGGTGCCCAAACCAGGATTCAAACCTGGGTCCCTCTGACTCCAAAACCTGGACAATGGTTTTTATACTGTGAGAACCTGATCCATTAAAACACACAGAAATAACCTTGCTGATCCCAACATTTTATATATATATATATTTTTTTTTTAACTGCATTTTAGGTTTTGGGGTACAGGTGAAGAACATGAAAGATTGTTGCATAGGTACATACATGGCAATGTGGTTTGCTGCCTTCCTCCCCATCACCTGTATCTGGCATTTCTTCCCTTATTATTGTTCCCCAGCTCCTCACCCCTCATTGTCCCTCCCCTAGATCCCCGCCACCACAGACCCCAGTGTGTGATGCTTTCCTCCCTGTGTCCATGTGTTCTCATTGTTCACCACCTGCCTATGAGTGAAAACATGCGGTGTTTGATTTTCTGTCCTTGTGTCACTTTGCTGAGAATGATGGTTTCCAGGTTCATCGATGTCCCTACAAAGGACACAAACTCATCATTTTTTATGGCTGCATAATATTCCATGGTGTATATGTGCCACATCCAGTCTATCATCAATAGGCATTTGGGTTGGTTCCAGATCTTTGCTATTGTAAACAGTGCTGCAGTGAACATTCGTGTGCATGTGTCCTTATAATAGAACACTTTATAATCCTTTGGATATATACCCAGTAATGGAATTGCTGGGTCAAATAGAATTTCTATTTCTAGATCCTTGAGGACTCACTGCACTGCCTTCCAAAATGATTGAACTAATTTACACTTCCACCAACAATGTAAAAGTGTTTCTATTTCTCCACATACTCTCCCGCATCTGTTGTCTCCAGATTTTTTAATGATCACCATTCTATCAAGCATGAGATGCTGTCTCAATGTCATTTTGATTTGCATTTCTATAATGACCAATGATGATGAGCTTTTTCTCATATGTTTGTTGGCCTCATATATGTCTTCTTTTGTAGAGTCTGTTCATATCCTTAGCCCAGTTTTGAATGGGCTTATTTGTTTTTTTCTTGTAAATCTGTTTTAGTTCTTTGTAGATTCTGGATATTAGCCCTTGGTCAGATGGGGAGATTGCAAAAAATTTTTCCCTTTCTGTTGCTTGTTGATTCACCTAATGATTGTTTCCTTTGCTGTGCAGAAGCTGTGGAGTCCCATTTGTCTATTTTGGCTTTTGCTGCCAATGCTTTGGGTGTTTTAGTCATTAAGTCCTTGCCTATGCGTATGTCCTGAATGGTTTTTCCTAGGTTTTCTTCTAGGGTTTTTATGGTGTTAGGTCTTATACAAGTCTTTAATCTATCTGGAGTTAATTTTAGTGTAAGGTGTCAGGAAGAGGTCCAGTTTCTGCTTTCTGCACACTGCTAGCCAGTTTTCCCAACACCATTTATTAAATAGGGAATCCTTTCCCCCTAGCCAGTTTTCCCAACACCATTTATTAAACAGGGAATCCTTTCCCCCTTGCTAGTTTTTTTCAGGTTTGTCAAAGAATAGATGGTTGTAGATGTGTGGAGTTGCCTCTGAGGCCTCTGTTCTGTTCCATTGGTCTATATCTCTGTTTTTGTACCAGTACCATGTTGTTTTGATTACTGTAGCCTTGTAGTATAGTTTGAATTCAGGTAGTGTGATGCTTTCAGCTTTGTTCTTTTTGCTTAGAATTGACTTGGCTATGCAGGCTCTCTTTTGGTTCCATATGAAGTTTAAGGTGTTTTTTTCCAGTTCTGTGAAGGTCATTGGTAGCTTGATGGGGATAGCATTGAATCTATAAACAACTTTGATCAATATGGCCATTTTCACGATATTGATTCTTCCTAACCATGAGCATGGAATGTTTCTCCATCTGTTTATGTCCTCTCTTATTTCATTGAGCAGCAGTTTATAGTTCTCCTTGAAGAGGTCCTTTACATTCTTTGTTAGTTGTATTCCTAGGTATTTTATTCTCTTTGCAGCAATTGTGAATGGCAGTTCATTCTTAATTTGGCTCTCTTTAGGTCTGTTATTGGTGTATAGGAATGCTTGTGATTTTTGCACATTGATTTTGTATGCTGAGACTTTGCTGAATTTGCTTATCAGATTAAGGAGATTTTGGGCTGAGAAGATAGGGTCTTCTAAATATAAAATCATGTTGTCTGCAAATAGAGACAATTTGACTTCCTCCTTTCCCAACTGAATACCCTTTATTTCTTTTTCTCACCTGATTGCTCTGGCTAGAACTTCCAATACTATATTGAATAGGAGTGGTGAGAGAGGGCATCCTTGTCTAGTGCCAGATTTCAAAGGGAATGCTTCCAGCTTTTGCTCATTCAGCATGATATTGGCTGTGGATTTGTCATAAATGGCTTTTATTATTTTGAGATACGTTCCATCAGTACCTAGTTTATTGAGAGTTTTTAGCATAAAGGACTGTTGAATTTTGTTGAAGGCCTTCTCTGCATCTATTAAGATAATCATGTGGTTTTTGTCTTTTGTTCTGTTTATGAATTACGTTTATAGACTTGCATATGTTGAACCAGGCTTGCATCCCCAGGATGAAGCCTACTTCATTGTGATGGATAAGCTTTTTGATGTGCTGCTGCAATCGGCTTGCCAGTATTTTATTGAAGATTTTGGCATCTGTGTTTGGCCTGAAGTTTCCTTTTCTTGTTGCATCTCTGTGGGTTTTGGTAGCAGGATGATGTTGGTCTCATAAAATGATTTGGGAAGAATTCTCTTTTTTTGGATTGTTTGGAATAGTTTCACAAGGAGTGGTACCAGCTCCTCTTTGTATGTCTGGTGGAATTTGGCTGTGAACCCATCTGACCTGGGCGTTTCTTGGTTGGTAGGCTTTTAGTTGCTGCCTCAACTTCAGTCCTTGTTATTGGTCTACTTAGGGCTTCAACTTCCTGGTTTAGGCTTGGGAGGATGCAAGCGTCCAGGAATTTATCCATTTCTTTCAGGTTTACTGGTTTATGTGCATAGAGTTGTTTGTAGTAATTTCTGATGGTGGTTTGTATTTCTGCAGAACCTGTGGTGATATCCCCTTTATCGTTTTTTATTGTATCTATTTGATTATTCTCTCTTTTCTTCTTTATTAATCTGGCTAGTGGTCTGTCTGTTTTGTTGATCTTTTCAAAACACCAGCTCCTGGA